CAGGACCTTTGAAGACGTCCAGGCTAAAACTCTAGCATTCATCAGGCTTGAGGAAGACCAGCAAACGCGACATCGGCCAGATGCATATGACGGAGGGCAGCGCAAATCGGGCACATCTAGGAAGCATGACTACAGAACTGGAAAACCCTACGTCAGAACTGAAGAGAAGCCAGTATCGTCAATAGCCAACTGGCTCGACGATCCAGAACTACCCCCTACCATCACTGACTACTACTTCAATGTTGTTACTCCGGGCCTCATTCATTCTCTGGAAAAGCTGGGAGAGAAGGTGAGATGGCCTCGAAAGATTGACAAACCAGCGGGCCGTCGCGACCCAAATAAGCGTTGTGATTTCCACAACGACATCGGACACAACACGAAGGATTGCGTCACATTAAGGAAGGAGGTGGCTTATCTGCTGAAAAATGGTTATCTGACGGAGAGCATGTCTGAACGCACCAAATCATTGTTGGGACGGAATGATAAAGCGCCACTAGATGAGTCTCGGCCGCCTTCACCTTCTGCACCGTGTAAGGTAATCAATTTTATTAATGGTGGATCTGATTTATGTGGACTAACGTATTCTGCAGCAAAGAGACACGCCCGGGATTACACCCGAGACAAGTCGTTACAGGTCTACAGGATCGGAAAACGTCAGAAGGAATGGAGAAATGCGTCGATCACATTTGAAGAAACGGATATCTCTGATCCGGCACAATCTCATCACGATACGTTGGTAATCTCTCTCAGAGTGGCGAACTGCGAAGTCAAACGAGTCCTTGTAGACAACGGAAGCACTGTAAATATTACCACCATGAAGATGTTGAAAGAACTGGGAGCCAAGGAGGAAGATATAACAGGATCCAGGTCAAGCCTGGTCGGATTCAATGGCGAGCCAAGCAGAACCCTAGGTAATATATCGTTACCCGTATATGCCCATGGTTTAAATGTGCAGGTTAGATTCGACGTAGTCGAGAGCAAACCAGCATACAACATGATCTTGGGAACTCCTTGGTTGCATCAAATGGGGGCAATTCCCTCAACTTATCACCAAATGATCAAATTCCCAACACCATGGGGAGTGCAAAGCATCAAGGGGGATCAATAGTCAGCCAAATCTTGCTATCAGACAGCGATGAAACTAACCGCGGACCAAACTACCACCAAGATCGCATAGCAATTAAAGGGTGACCCCGCTCTGGTGGAAGATGACGCCAAAACGAAAGAAGTCGCCATCGACCTAGAACATCCAGAAAGTGTCATCCGCATCGGGAAAGACATACCAGAGCACCTCGAAGAGGAACTGATAAACTTCCTCAGAGAACATAAAGACGTATTTGCTTGGAGCCACGACGACATGACATGTATCGATCCTAACATCATAACTCACAGATTAAACGTCAGCCCATCACACAAACCCGTCAGACAGAAAAGAAGACGCTTTGCAAAAGAGAGGAATGCCATTATCAATCAGGAAGTCGATACGTTGCTTCGAACCAGAAAAGTAAAGGAGGTAAAATACCCCGATTGGCTAGCCAATGTTGTTGTTGTTCAGAAAAAGAAAGGGCAGGAGGAAGGCAAGCCAGTCAAATGGAGAGTCTGTGTGGACTTCACTGACCTAAACAAAGCATGTCCCAAAGACTCATTTCCGATGCCGCACATTGACGCATTGGCTGACGCTACGGCAGGGCACGAAATGCTATCCTTCATGGACGCATTCAGTGGTTACCATCAAATACAACTTCACCCCGACGACCAAGAAAGCACAGCCTTCGTCACGGAGACAGGTACGTATTGTTATGTTATTATGCCTTTTGGACTAAAAAATGCAGGTGCGACGTTTCAGAGGCTAGTCACCTTAATGTTCAAGGATCTGATGGGAGATACCATGGAAGTTTATATTGACGACATGATAGTCAAATCAAAGAAGAAAGAGGATCATATCTATCACCTGACAGAACCCTTCAGAAGGTTGAAGAAGTACAACCTAAAGATCAACCCAGCGAAGTGTACTTTCGGGTGACGTCAGGGGAATTTTTAGGATACATTGTCAGCGAACGAGGAATAGAGGCAAGCCCGGAACAAATACGGGCAATTATTGACATTGAATCCCCAAAATCCGTCAAAGATGTCCAGAGATTGACGGGACGAGTCGCGGCTTTAAATCGTTTCATTTCGAAGTCATCAGACATATGCCATTTGTTTTATGACGTCTTAAGGAAAAACAAAAAATTTGAATGGACAGATCGGCACGAACAGGCACTTCAGCAATTAAAAGAATACACGATGTCGCCACCGCTGTTCGCAAAACCCAAAGACGAAGATGAGTTGCAACTTTATCTGGCCGTTTCAGAACACGCCGTTAGTGCAGTATTGACAAAAGAAGAACAAGGGCAGCAAACTCCAGTCTATTATGTAAGTAAATCCCTAAATGGCCCGGAATCCAGGTACGCCTTACTTGAAAAGTTAGTTTTAGCTTTGGTCGTTGCTTCGATTAAATTACGCCCTTATTTGAATCACATACCATTTGTGTTAGAACTAATTATCCCATGAAGTCAATCATGAGGAAACCAGAATTGACAGGTCGCATGGCTAAATGGTCGATTTAACTTGGAGCTTATGACATAAGATTTGAACCAAGAACAGCCCTGAAATCACAGTCACTTGCAGATTTTGTGGCGGACTTCAGTCCAAAGCTCCAAGAGGAGGCGGAAAAAGAGACCTGCACTCTGATCGACGGCTTACCAAAGCAAAAATGGACGTTGCATACTGACGGAGCATCGAACCAGAACGGCGCAGGCTTGGGGGTGGTACTGAAGTCACTAGAAGGGGACACCATGCTCCAAGCAGTACACTGTGACTTCACCGCTACAAATAACGAGGCAGAATACGAAGCACTGATCGTCGGACTCACACTGGCAAGGGACTTGGGCGTTAAAATCTTGGAGGTAAAATACGACTCTTTACTGATAATTAATCAAACTAATGGCGTATACGCAGCAAAAGGCCCCAAGATGACATCTTATTTGCAAATTGTCCGAGAACTGATAACGACGTTTGATGAGATAACCCTTGAACAAGTCCCACGTGAAGAAAATACACAAGCTGACGCTCTGGCTGCGGTCGGATCATGTCTGGGGGCAGAAATTAATCGCAACATCCCTTATGTGCACTTGATGAGTCCAACAATTTACAGATCAGAAGTGGTCTTTGCCATCGAACTCCCTACACAAGGAGACTGGACGCAACAATACATAGCATATCTAAAACACAATATTTTCCCGGAAGACAAAAAAGAGGCCAAAGCTTTCCTATCTAAGGTGAGCAAATTTCTACTAATAGACGGTATTCTAATTAAAAGATCTGTCGCAGGCCCGTATCAAAGATGTCTGGCACCTCAAGAAGCCATCAAAGTGCTAAAAAACCTTCATGAAGGGGAATGTGGCAACCACGCAGCCGGGCGGAGTCTGTCTAACAAGGCTCTTAGATTTGGATACTACTGGCCGACCATGAGAGAAGACGCAACCATTTTCACTCAAAGATGCATGCCTTGTCAGCTACATGGACCAATCCGTCATCAACCATCTGAGTCGCTTCATCCAGTCTTATCACCATGGCCCTTTATGAAGTGGGGTATGGACATTGTAGGAAAATTGCCAGAGGCACCGGGACAGAAAGTATATATGCTAGCAATGACGGATTATTTTTCAAAATGGGTGGAGGCTGAGCCATTCCGTCAGATTCGAGATGACCAAGTAATTTCGTTTATCAAAAGAAACATACTTTGCAGGTTCGGCGTCCCGTCAGAAATCGTTTGTGATAACGGATCTCAATTCATAAGTGCTAAAACCAGACGTTTTTGTGAGAGTTACAATATCAAATTGGACACATCTACACCCAGGTACCCACAATCTAATGGACAGGCTGAATCTAGCAATAAAATCATCATCAACAACTTAAAGAAAAGGCTTGAAAAGGCGCAAGGCAGGTGAGCCGACGAGTTGCCTTTAATACTATGGGCAGACAGGACAACTCCAAAAAATGCAACCGGACAGACCCCATTCTCTCTTGTGTATAACTGCGAAGCAGTAATTCCTGTGGAAATCGAAATACCTTATTCAAGATATGGACTCATGACTGAAGAATTGAACAATGTGGAATTTACATGACTTGGATACCATTGACGAGATCCGTGAACGAGCCAGGATTCGCTTGCAGGCATATCAACAAACGGTTGCGAAAAGCTATAACAAAAACGTCCGAATAAAAGTATTCAAGAGACTGGGTCTTGAGAAGAGCATTTGGCAACGAAGCGGCAGGAAAGTTTAGTCCAAATTGGGAGGGACCTTACAAAATCATTGACATTGTTGGTCAAGGGGCATACCGTCTGGAATCCATCGATGGTAATCGAATCCCTCGAAGTTGGAATGCGGTACATTTAAAACATTTTCATTTTTAATATAAATTCTCTTCTTTCCTGCATATCTATTCCTATTGCTAAATAAAGTGACTAACTTGACCGTTGGAGGGCCGTTGGCTTAAGGCCAATGACCAGCCCTAACAATGATTATAAATACAGAAAAACACAGAAACGGCAAAGTCACAGGTAATTAGTTTCGTTTCACATGATCTTAAATGCAGTAAATATAATTCATCAATTACTAACTTGACCGTCGGAGGGCCGTTGGCCCCAAGCCAACGGCCGACCCCAACGGTACGGTATCATCGCAGGATTATGACAGGTTAAGATCTGAATGCCAGATGACACATGCGCTAGAACGACAGGTAGAACATCCAAATTTGCTCATGACAAAACATCAATGTGCAGGGGACATGAGGCTCATTATGGAGAAACCATGAATGAAGTTCCATGAAACCGAATAAGTTTTGGCCAAAACACAAAACACATATATGACTCTACACACACATGGCATGTTGCATACGTAAGAGACATATATAACAACACACACATTAACATAAACATGATTCAGGTGACCAAAGGGAATAGCAACGGAATCACCAAACAACATGGATTTCGCTTGGATAAACCACCAAGCACAAAATCCATGAATTCTCAGGAAAACATTAAAATTCCTGACAGGAAACCATGATGCAAGGGCAGTAATAGCAGAGTAAGTCTTGGAAGCAAAAAAATGTTTGAAGTCAAGAGAGTAGAAGGGAAAGGATGCAGTTAGTTATCTTAGGAGCGTCTGGATTCAGCTTCATTATCGGACTGGCCTACGTCAAAACCATCTTCCCCAATCGGGGGATCCATCTCATCTTGAAGCTTTAACCAGGTAGCAACATCCTGTTCCGCAGTCCAGCTTGACGTCTCACCTGCGAGGAATGAAGCCATCAGTTCACCCCTGGTTTTCCAAGCATAAAAACAGGCCGCGTCAGTAACTTCTTGCTTCTTTTTCCTCCCATATGCCTCCAACAACTTGATACGGGTTTTTAGAGTCGAAATTTGATTTGTTAAAGTCGAATTGTCACCACGAAGGCTTTGGATCATTCGAGCATCAACATCAGCACGAGCTTGAGAACTTTTCTCCTTTCTTTTTAATTCGTCCACAACCTTTTCCAACAGAACCAACCTTTCTGCAGCAACCAGGCTAGCTTGAACACTCTGCCAGTTTAAAACAAATTTTTTCTCGTCAAAAGAAGGATTAAATTTGTACAAATACCGAGCATTTATGAAGCGACAAGGTACTTGGAAAGCAAAAGCCGAGGAAGCCAATTCCAGGCCAGCTGAAGACACATCCGAAAATACAACAGATGAGGAGGAAAGCAGAACTTGAGGCATTTCACTTCCCATCACAAAAGCATCCTTCAAACAGCAAAAGTCACGAGAGAAAGAGGCGTTCATCTTCACGCCAGAGTCAGGATTGGCGGCAACACTCACTGGAAGAGGAGGAGCAGATTTCATCTCAGTATTCGGGCAATGTGGAGTTTTGGAACAGCCAGAGGCCAACTTAGATGGAACCATCTTTTTTCTTGAAACCATGTTAAGGAGGTCATAATCAGAAGGCATCAGCCGTGTGTTAGACGAAGAAACAGCTGTGACAAGAGAAAATATATTAACGTTCTAAACGAAGCAGCATTTGACGAATAATTGAAATAGCAGGAACAAGTACAAGCATGTTGTGCAGAACGTTTCGCTGGAAGAGAACAGGAGTCCTGACCAACGGGAAACACCATTTGAAGAGGAACAAAAGCACTTGCATTTTCACCTCCACCCCTCGATGCTTCTGATTCATGGTCTGAATCGTCTACAGAGACCGCGCGTGAACCTTGGACACCGTCAGGGACATTCTGAATATTACGACGAGAACGCCTTAATCCAACGGACCGAGAATGGTCAGGGGTGGGAGACATACCTTCATTATCAACCACTAGATTCCCAAAGGTCCGTTCGGCAGTAGTTATAGATAAAATTTTGGCAGTCCTTCCTTCAGAGTCTGGACCATAGCTCAAGGGGATAGTCTTCCTATCTAAAACAAAAAACAACAATAATGAAAATGGTAATTTTGACGTATTGCAGACCAACCATATAGAAACTAAATACATTTGAAATTCATATGTAAAGCAAGAAGTTGTCAAGATACCTTTGTGTAAACTCTCTTCAAGAAACGCGCCCTCAGAACCTAGGGAATCTTTCTGCACAAAGAAGAATTGGCTCATCCAGCCGCGATCATTAGCTTTATCCGCCCTCAATATCAGCGCTTCGCGAGCATCTTTGACAGCCAGGGTGAACCGACCGGCTCCAGAAGAACGAAGATCATAGGTAAAACCCAGATCTTCGAAGGAAAAGGGGATGCTGTGTTTTTCGCTTAATACTTCTAAACCACGCAGAACCCTCCATACTTGTGGCATTACTTGGGAAGGGGAAACTTTGACAAAGGCCAAGAAATCTCTAACTAAGGAAGAAAAAGGGAATTTCATACCAATCTTGAAGGGGTACATAAAGAAGTTGACTCATCCATCGCAATGCCAATCAACCCGTTCGTTAGCGGCCGGAAACCGGATGGATGCATGCGCTAGAAATCCGGAACCATGCTTGATAGCTTCGATATGATTCTCAGAGAGTTTGGCCTGTTTTGCATTCTTCGGATCCAGGATGTGTTGAGGGATAAACTGTTGGGACGCCATGGATTCTCACGATGAGTCTCTGCAAGAATCAAACGGAAGATATTTCACAAAAGAGGAGTTATGACTGAAAAGGGGCTAGTCTGACAAAGGGTTGGCTACTCGAGGAAGGAGATTGACGGTTTTGTCCATTTCGAGGTAGCATCAAAACGTTTAAAATTCAAAGAAGTAACCGACCGGTTGGATTAAGTTGGCAACGATTACTACTTCAAATTTTAGGGGCAATTGTTGGGCCCGGATTTGTCAAGCGAATCGGCCCATTGATTGGGTTTGGGTTTATTGGACGGATCAGCCCACGTAACCCTAAGAATTCTACAGAGTCCGGCTTGATCAAATAATGTGACGAAGTGGATAAGGAAGCCTAAGAAGTTGAGGAGAAAATGGAGGAACGATTCCTGATTTAGTAGGGGGAGACTATCATTTCGCCGAGCAGTTCGTCTACATGGGGGATAAGGCTAAAACTTTTATTTTAAATAGAATAGTTGTAGAAGAGAGGAGGGACGATCCCTTTAGCTCACAAAAAATATATTCGTTCTTGTTTTTCATTCGAAAGCTGAATAATATTGATTCATCCTTTGATCGTACGTTCTTTGAATATTATCTTGTACGATTCCCCATCTCCTAAAATAGATTGTTAGTAGAATAATTATTTTCTGCTTAAACATACGGTGCAGTCATCTGCTCTGGCGTTCGGGGAATTCCCATTCGGGATGCTTAATTATTGGATAATAATGAAACTGTGGAATCATCCATTGTGTTGTCAGGCTTTCTAAGCAAAAGTTATCCCTGTGTGTTGTCAGGTTAGTGGGCTGGCGGGTCCCACCCATTATTTTCTTCCACCGTTGCACTTCCATAGCATCTTCCTTTAGTTTATGGCAGCAGAGTAGTTTGCAACCTCCGTTGACTTTCAGCTGGACTCTACCATTTATCTCGGGATATGGAAACGGTTTTTGCATCGATCTGGCAGGTTTCTTGGTGAGCCAGGGTCTGGTTTTCTTTTTCCGTTCTTCCTGGAGCTGCGTGTTTCCAACATCATTTTTTGTAGTTGAAATCAGTAGCTTTTTTGGCTCAAAATTTTGTAGAAAATCAAGAACACATGAATCTTTTTGAACAAGTTCCCACAGACGTCGCCAATGTTGCGTTTTAGTCCAACATAAACTAGTAGAATATAGATATAATTTGGTATAACACTCGATTTTTACGTGGAAACCCGAAAAGGGAGAAAACTACAAGACTTTTTAGTCTAACGTCCAAGTCCACACTTTCTCATTAACTCTCCTCACCCAAATACATGTACAAATCTTGAGCTCCATTAATGGAGGTTGAAAATAACTAATCTACACAATAAGCAAAGCAGTAGAAGGGAGGAGCCAAAAGTTGGATCCTTTACATGGAAGCTTGGCTTCCTATTTGTAGAAGGGGGTCAGGGCTTTCTATCCTAATGGGTCGGACGGGCCTTATCGGGCCGAAATGGGCCGAGTAGGCCTAAATGGGCCGAGTAAGCCTAAATGGGCCTCGCCGGTTGGGCTTCATACCAGGGTGATGCCTTGGGCCTCTCAACAGCAACGTAACAAGTCGAGATAATATATCCAACAATTATAACGTAGTTAATATTGATAACTGTTGATGGGGTTATGGGACTAGACCCAGAGCCTAATCGGCCCAGGCCCCGAACATGGACCAGCAGGCCCAAGCCTAGCAACCTAGAGCTCGAGTCGGCCCAACCGATCAGGCCAATAAAGGAGCGGAAGACCAAGAGAGCCTGCCATCCAGTCCAGCGGGGAGCCTGCCTTCCAGCTCGGCCAGAAGCCTGCCTTCCAGTCCGGCCAGCGGCCTGCCTTCTAGCCCAGTCAAGAGCCTGCCTTCTAGCCTAGTCAAGAGCCTGCCTTCCAGCCCGGCCAGCGGCCTGCCTTCCAGCCCGGCCAGTGGCCTACCTTCCAGCCTAGCCAGGAGCCTGCCTTCCAGCCCAGCAAGGAGCTTGCCATCCAGCCCGGCCAACGGCCTGCCTTCCAGCCCAGCGGAAGCCTGTCGCATGAGGAGCCTAAACGTTTTGTTTGCCAGCCAGGCCGACCTGCCAGCCAACCAGAAAGAGTAACGGCCAACAATCAATGCACTATTAATTATGTATTTAATTCCGTATTAATGTTGTAATTAATTTAGTCATCATTATGTTCGACAGTTACCATTTGTAATCGCCTATAAAAGGAAATTCGAATTTCAAATACAGACATGCTATTTCTAGCAACTAAACACTTTTAGTTTCTTTCCTTATTTGCATTATTTTCCTGATTTTCTGTTTGAGTGTCGTACGTAGCTTTCCTAAAAGCCTACGAGCGTCCTATTTTGGACCAACATTAATGCTTTCATTGAGAGCCTCTATTGTCTCTCACATCGCTCGAGTAAGAACTACAAAGGAAGATGGCCAGAATCTCATCCCGACGTGACCATGTCTCAGTCCACACCGAGGAATCCACCCGGCCTAGCCGCCAGCGTGTCCCCGACAACCATGGACAAAGCAAGGGGCAGCGCGCCAAGGCGACCTTCAGAACCGGTTGTCAGGCCACGACGACCTGAGCGCGACGCTCAACCACACCCAGGGTGAGCGCTCGGTCCGCAGCCAGCGGGGGGGGGGGGGGGGGGGGGGGGGGGCTTGACGTCATGCTCCGCTCATGGACCTAGCTCGACTCGATGTCGGGGTGGAAGCCCTACAGGAGGCAACTCGAGTTCTGGGGGCCTTGGCTCAAGGTTTCCAGCAAATGGTATCTGGAACTAACATGGATGAGCCTTCCCGTCAACAGACGCTGGCAGATGTGGAGGTGTCCTCTAGGCGGCGTGACGAGCGACGCTCTGGATGCAACCAACAAAGAAGGGAAGAAGTCTCCCAGCAGCTTAGCCGGTCCCATCGGCAGGCTGGGAGGGGCGCCCGACAGGGGCGCTCAATGCAAATGGAGGGAGGCGAGCCCTCTCACCACTCTCACAGGGCGAGTCGTCAGACTGGATCCATGGAGAGGCAAAACATGGGGCCTGACCTCACGTGCATGGATGACTTGGAGGTGCCGCTAGACATGCCCATCCCCGCGCTGGGGCTGTCCGAGGAAACCCACCGTCGGCCGAGGTGGAAGATCTACGACAGCGCCTCGATGAGTTGAGAAGAAGGGTTGTCGGGGGGGGGGGGGGGGGGGGGGAGCCTTACATGGCTGACCTCCGGATACCCGAACCTTTCACCCGGGTGGTCATGGATGCGCCGTTGCCAAGGGGCTACAAGCCCTGCGCCATCGAAGCATACAAGGGCACTTCTGACCCTCAACATCATGTATCTCGGTACCTTTCTTACATGGTGATGATGGGGTACGAAGACGCCATCCGATGCCGCGGTTTCTCTACCACTTTGGATGGTTCGGCTCGTGAATGGTATGACTCTCTACCTGACGGGAGTATCACGAATTTTCGTGAGTTTGCTCAACGCTTTCTCTTGAGGTTCGCGAGCTCCTGAGACGTCAAGAAGAACTTCAGCCACCTGTTTGGCCTAAAACAAGGGAAGAAGGAATCATTGTCGACCTTCTTAACGAGGTGGAGGGTCGAGTCAGCCAAGGTTCAGGGCCCTGATGACAGGACTGGGGTGGTGATAAGCATTCTATTAACGTGTTTTATACGATCGTTTATAAACGCTTTTATACTTGAAACAATTAAATCTTCACACATATGCCTCGTTTTGCTAGAAGTACTTTAAATCGATGATTGGATCAAATACACAGATGGTAGAATACACACGAAGAAACCGACGGAAAAAGGTCAACCAAACGCATCCCGAGAAGCAAACAAAATCTACTAAAATGCACAAGGCAAGTGAAAGGCGCCCGGCTATTGTAAAAGTCGACCGACTTTTACCCCTAAACCCATTTCCACGTCCAAAGAGAAGAAAAGGCATCTGGAGCAAGAAAAGATGAAAGCTGCCCGACTTTCGTGAAAGGCGTCCATCCTTGGGCGCCGTAGGATTAAAACATTAATTCGAGCCAAAAGCCGGGCGGCTTTTGGCAGAAGCCGCCCGGATTTCGACCCCTGGAGCGGATGAAGATTATTTTAAACGCACGAAAGCTGCCCGGCTTTTGCGAATGTCGCCCGCCTTTCGTCTGGAGCTGATTAAAACAAGAAACGATCATCACAATCATTCGGGAGAAACTCCAAACCTCATTAAGGAGCTTGCTTCCTTGTCTAAAAATGGCCGTTGAAGACCAATATTTAAGCATATTGAAGCCCTCTCAAGAGACTATTCCATATTCTACTCACTACACTTCTACTTTGGCATCTCAAGAGCAACCCCTTGGTCTTGGGAGAAGTTCTTCATTTGGGGATAGCATTATCCACCATAGCTTTGGAGTTGTGGTATCAATTTCTTATGTATTTCATTGTATTTTATCATTTCAATACTTGTAATTTCATTATGAGTTGTTCTAGCTAATTTTCCATAGTTAAGGTTATGGATGAAACTTTACGCACTATAGGTGTTTGATGTATGTTCTCAACCAAATTATTATGATCTTTCCTTTATATTTTAATGTGTATGACTACGGTGTACAACGTATGATTATATCATTGGGTTTATTTGAGCAATTAACGTTGAGTTATAAACTGTGCACTTAAAGGTTAGACATATTCTAATTGTGGATAGAAATATACCTCAATTGAATATGATGGATTTTATAATGTCCTAATCTTCAATGGGGTTAATTTTAGATGAATGTGAACCGTGACGGAATTCACACGTAGAATTAATCACAATCTCGCTTCCGTAACAGGAGTTAGAATACTTTAGTGACATTCCACTCATAAGAATTGGGGAAAGAATATACATTAATCGCTAGGAGTCGTTTAGGAGTAATCCCGAACCCTTGGTCGGTTTTATTATCACTTGAAAACCAAAAATCTATACTCTTTTGTTAGTACCCAATTTTGATAGATTTTGATGATGCCACTATACTTTGCACCTCTACATTGTGTCTCATAAAATAGCATTTAAATTTAAGTGAAAAAAATAAATGTACAATTTTTGAGACTAAAGAAATATTACCGGAAAAGTAAAAATGCAATAAGGTAATTTTTATTTACCTTAATGGGATAGTTAGATCCTACCGGTAAATATTATTTAGCTCAAAGATTAAATTGTCACATTTTAAAGAAAAGATACTCGAATACACTATGATTGGAAGACAAAATGTACACCGACATTAAATGAAAGAGTGCTACACTGACTGCAGCATGTGACGATTTTTGGAGTAACATTGCAGCGACTGAATTACCCATGCAGCGGCCTGATTTCTGGAGACAAGGTGACCGCCCCAATAAAAGCTCCTGCACAAGAAGACGAATGTACAATTTGTTCTTGCCAGACCTTCAACAAACAGGATTAATCCATCCTAACCAACAGATGAGATTAATCAACTGGAGTAGCCTATAAATATAGGCTGAAACAAAAGTTTCTAACCAAGCTTGAGCATTCTAAGTAGAGAAATATTTCATTAAGCATTCACGAGATATCTAGCAAAAGAGAAAGTGAGAATCTATACTTTACTCTCTTCTTAGATTCATGTTTCACTAAACTTCTTAGTTTCAAGTATTCATTGCTAAATCCTAGAAGTTTAGTTCCTAGTTGGAGGTTAGAACTTTCTTGTAATGAAATCACAAATTGTTGTAAACACTTAGGAGAACAGTTGTTCAGATCCTACAGTGTGGTTAGATAGATAGAGTACCTTTTGATCCCCACTGGATCATTTGAGAAAAGTCTAAGGACTGAGTAACTTTGAGTCGTGTTATACTCATTGTGAAAAACCTTCAATCTAGGCCTAAGTGTTGTAAAGGCTAGATTGGCACTAAGTGTATTGGGCTTAATACTTTAGTGAAATCCATCTGAAAGAGGGTGGGACTGGACGTAGGAGGATTACACCACATCTGAACTAGGATATATCGTGTGTTGATTTATTTTCAGTCAACAAAGCACACACCAAAAACTTCTCACAAAAGATTGTAGTTTGCCAGCAGCATCCTAAGCAGTTGTCTTAATTGACCCTACTGCTTATCCTACTGCTTAATAACTCACTTTCTTTGAGATACAAAAGCCTTGCAATATCACCACATAAAGGCCTATTCTATCAAATCTCTGGAAATCATCTTAAAAGCTCAGCAGTTGCCTCAGCAGTCCACTAGTGACTACCCAACTGTTGAGCCCACTGCTCATACAAAAGTACTTCCTTGAACATCTCAAACTTCACCAGACCTTCACAACACTCTCACTGAGGAGTCAGTTCAAACTGATCTCTGAGACTTGAGCTGAAGCCCAGCAGGTGCCTCAGCAGTTCTCTCACTGCCGAGACCACTGCTCCAGTAAAACTCCCAGCTACTTGTACTAAAGCACATCTTCAGAAAGCCCTCATCACCCTGAGCAATATTATATAATCAGTTTTCCCATATCTGTACTTTCACTTAAGCAGGTACCTCAACAGTTCCCTTGTTACTACCCAACTGCTGAGACCTCTGCTCTGATAAAGATTGATTATCAACCCATCTCAATACATCATCAGAAAGCCATTTTCATTCTAAGAAAGATTCTGCTCACACTTTCATCATACAATCAATATTTCCTCAGCAGTTGCCTCAGCAATTCACTGCCATCCAGTCCTCTGCCAAGCCAACTGCTCACTACATAAAGTCCAAACTTCATTCATCATAGAAAGTTGTTATACACTATTTGTATAAGAGGATTAAAGACTTCCGATGTGCATCTATAAATCTCCTAAAAGATTATAGATCAACTCATCTAGAAGGGAAAAGTTTTTAAAGTTCCAAAAGCTTTAAAAGTCTATTCACCCCCCTCTAGACGTTTACCTCTATCCGGGACCATCAAGTGGTATCAGAGCGGAGTGTTCCTAGAGTCAGTTTCTGACTAATTTGAACTAAAGATTCAAAACCACTATACTTCCCAAAACACTTTCTAAAAATGGACAGTCAGTTAGCAAAGAACCTTTTGTTCAACTTGAACAAATTTGATGACTGGAAGATCAGGATGAAAGCACATCTCAGTGCTCTACATGATGAAATGCTGGAAGTGATTACAGCTGGACCTATCAAAATCTGAAAGCCCACTGCCAGCAGTTGCCTCCAGAAACAAGCCACTACAAGCAGGTGACTAACCAAGGAACAACTTTCCAGGCACTCAGTGGCGGACCCAGAGATTTCTCAGAGTAGGGGCACACTAGACACTAAACTTATTCTATAATAAAAATTTCAAATGTAATAAAGATGGTAAAAAGTAAGGCAATAGCATAAATTATACGGAGTAGTTAATTACATATTAAATAGTTCATTTCTGCAACTTTGGTAAATCAAGCCTACGAGTTTTCATATTCTGAAAATGTTGCATAATAGTTTCATTATCAATACTTCTAAAAACATATCTCTCGATGTAGCACACCAAGCAATCTGTAAGATAATTATCTCCCATCTTATTGCGAAGATCTGTCTTGATAATATTCATCGCAGAGAAGGCTCTTTCAACGGTGGCTGTTGCAACTGGTAATACTAAAGCCAACTCAATCAGACGATATACCAAGTGAAAAGAATTGTGAACTTTAAGCTCAACCATCTTTTTACAAACTTCACCAATAGTCTGTACGGCAGAAAATAATTCATTTGTTCTCATTTCATATATCCACACCTGGAGTTGCTCTTTCAGCTCCATTCGATCAACGAATGAAAAATCGTATGAATATAATTCCGCGAGGTTTAGTAGCTTTGACTCACAGAAATTGGAGAACTTATCTCTAGGATCAAGACATGCTAAACAAGTCAGTAATTCTGTGTTGGACTCACTAAAGCGATTCTCCATCTCAAGACTTATCTGGTCAATCACCTACAAAGAAAACATAGTAATAATAATAAAGTCAAAACAAAAATGAATATAGTAATAATAATAATAATAGTAATAATAATAGTAATAATAATAATAAACACCTGGCAAAATATATCAACTCGAAAGTGATGATAATTTGTTATCGGGTGATGAACATGTCTAGAATGACGATTTGTCTCTTCCATGTTAAGAATGTCAATTTTGTTCTTGACACAAAAGCTATTGACATCTTCCAAGAGATCATCCCATCTGCTTTCTCTCAAATCTTGAAATTTAGCTTTAGTGCTTTTAACTAAGCTCACAGCCTCGAGAATGTTTTGATCTTTTTGTTGCAAGAAATGTGACAATATATTCGTCAATCCCAATACCTTTTTCATCAAGTGAGCAATTAAAACAAACTCATAACTCTCCATCTTTTCTACCAGGCTACTAGCAGTGCCTCTCGATTTGAGATCAGTTCCATCATCAAATATATTATCAAGAACTTGAATAGTAGGAGACCACATAGAAAGAATACGAATAATGGTTGTATGATGTGAACCCCAGCGTGTAGCTCCCGGCCTAGCTAAACTACTTTCTTGATTCAATCCTCTCCCAGTTGTAAGCTCACCCTTTTCTAGCATCTCTACCATGGCTTCATGTTGTTTTTGCCGAAACTCGTCTTTTCTTTTACAAGAAGATCCTACCATGTTAGTAACCATGGACAAATATTCAAAAAAGTCACTCACAAACTTATTTTTTTGTGCAACGGCCACAACAACTAATTGCAATTGGTGAGCAAAACAATGAATATATCTTGCTTGTGGATTTTCATTCAAGATTAGAGTCTTCAATCCATTAAGCTCACCTCGCATATTAGAAGCTCCATCATATCCTTGACCTCTAATCTTGGACAAAGATAATCCATGCTTAGCAAAAAAATCATCGATGCCACTTTTCAAAGAAAGTGCAGTAGTGTCAACAACATGTTTAACTCCAAGGAATCGCTCCATAACAACTACGCTATCGTTTACAAATCTAACAACACTTGCCATTTGCTCTTTCACAGAATTATCACGAGCTTCATCAATCAACAAAGAAAAAAATTTGTCACCAATATCACTAATTATGACTTTTGTTGTCTCTGATGCACAAGAACTAATAATATCCTTTTGAATCTTAGGACTAGTAAGTTGGTGATTTGATGGTGCATTAACTTTCACCACTTTCTCAACATCAGCATTGCGTGCACTATACCAATCAAGCAATTCCAAGAAATTTCCTCTATTCAGTGAAGTTTCTCTCTCATCATGCCCACGAAAAGCCAACCCTTGTGAAATTAAAAATCTAGCACAATCCACACTTGCATTCAAACGAGTGTGATATGCAGCACCCAATGTTTGTATTCCTGGATCCAGACTTCTTGGAATGCTTTGCTTTTGATTCTTGAAAGCAAAAAAACGTGTTCTGGCATCATTGTGTGCACCATTTACAACTCTTACATGGTCTCTAAATTTTTCAAGACTTTTCTTCCAATTATGAAATCCGGTCCTTACAAATACATCATCTCCAAATCTCCTCCCTTCTACCCCACGGAAAAGGTAACACCAAAAGCAAAATGCAGCATCTTTAGAAATACTATATTCCAACCATTCCCAATTTTTAAACCACTCTGCTCGAAAACATCTCATTTTTTTCCCAAATAAAGTTCGTGGAAAATCATGAGACAACGGTTGACAAGCACCTTTAACAACATACACTCTCATCACGTCATCTCTTACTCGAGGATCATATTCAATGATTGGCTTTCGTAATGCGGGATCGCTAATGATATCCCACTCACACGTATTATCTGTCCGTGCTCTTTTATCTCCCCTAATTTCATTAGACTCATCTCGGACAATGCTTACATTCGAAGCAATAACATTTCCATCGCTTGAGATAGACTGATTAGGAACATTTGAAGAACTATCCCCTTGAGTTAAAGTCCTCTTAGTCCGAATTACAAATTTATCCAAACTCATATTCCTAATAAAAAAACAAATACAATCAAGTCTAAAAATAATAAAAAAAAAACTTAGAAATTAGAACCATAATCCCGAATTAGAGCGCATTCACAAATTCAAACTATCAAATTTCAAGTAAACAAACAATCATCAATATTCGTGATTAATTGATTATTAACAATTTTAATTTTTATAACAATCCACAATGGCAAGTTATCCAATTCAATGAAATTAAAAGAGCAGGTGCCGGAATAAACTCGAAAAAACTTACAAAATACAAATGAAGCGGCGATTGGACGTACGGTGCGGCACTGCAGCGGCTGAGCGGCAGTTTAGCAAGGCAGCGAGCTGATTGGCAGTTTAGCAAGGCAGCGGCAATTTAGCTAGGCAGCGGCAATTTAGCAAGGGACTGAGGGTGCGGCAGTTTAGATTTTAGAAGGCTCCGCCATTGCGGATTTGCGGCAATAGAAAGAGGCAATTTTAGATTTTAGAAGGCAACGCCATTGCGTGACTGCTCATCTGCTAGGTTTTAATTTTTGGTAGTTTAGTGTTTTTAAACTTTTACTTGGGAATGCAGCATATTAATTTGGCCGCACAATTCATTAAATTACTTTTAAGTGGCTCCACATTAATTCCTTTTTTGAGAATTTTATATCTTTTATTTTAATTCAGCTAAAATTTAAATATTATGTATTAACTTTTACTTTATATAACCGTAAGTCTGTAACATTTTAGTATCTTAGTTATCTAATATTGATAATTTTTGTACGGGTTGGGGGCACTAATTTTACCCGAAGTACTAGTAGTGAATTCTTGGCCGAAAGCGGGGGCACTAATTTTACTCTAAGTACTAGTAGTGAAATTCCTGGCCGAAAGCGGGGGCACTTACCCCCCTAGCCCCCCCCCCCCCCCCCCCTAGGTCCTCCACTGCAGGCACTCATGAAATCCCTAATCATCCTGTTCTACCAGATGATACTGAAGAAGAAGAAGAAGAAGAAGAAGAAGAAGAGAAGGATGACCAACAAATTCAAACCACAACAACCACATCTGACATTAGATGGTTGAACAAACATCCTCCTCACCAAATCATTGGAAACATCCATGAAGGGGTTCGAACCAAATCAGAAATTCAAAGAGAAGCACTATTCTCATGCTTCATCTCACAAACTGAACCCAAGAAATTTGAAGAAGCCCTACTTGACTCTGACTGGATACAAGCCATGCAAGAAGAACTCAACCAATTTGAAAGAAACAATGTGTGGGAGTTTGAGTACAGAACCTATCATCAACATGTGATAGGAACCAAATGGGTGTTCAGAAACAAGATGGATGAGGAAGGCACAATTGTCAAGAACAAGGCAAGACTAGTAGCCAAAGGCTACTGCCAGAAAGAAGGTATATATTTCGATGAAACCTTTGCTCCTATTGCTAGACTTGAAACTATAAGAATATTCTTAGCCTATGATGCCCATAAGCAATTCACTATCTATCAAATGGACGTGAAAAGTGCCTTCCTAAACGGTCTATTAGAAGAGGAGGTATATATGGACCAGCCTCCTGGATTTGAAGTCAATAGAGAGAAAGATCTAGTCTACAAACTACATAAAGCTCTTTATGGACTCAAACAAGCCCCAAGAGCATGGTATGACACTCTCTGTGAATATTTAGTGAATAATGGGTTCACTAAAGGCAAAGTAGACAAGACACTATTCAAAATTGAAGAAGGTCCCCACATTCTGCTTGTTCAAATCTATGTGGATGACATAATTTTTGGAAGCTCAAATCGAGCATTATGTGAGAAATTTTGAAGTCTCATGCAAAACAAATTTGAAATGAGCATGATGGGAGAGTTGAACTATTTCTTGGGACTACAAGTGAAGCAGACTCTACAAGGTATCTTCATCAACCAAGCCAAATATACTAGAGATCTCATGAAGAAATTCAAGGTCGAAAACAAGTCCACTGTGAAAATTCCCATGAATACATCCCAAGGTCTAAGTCAGGATGAAGATGGCAAAGATGTTGAACCTACACTTTATAGAGGTTTGATTGGTTCCTTATTATACATTACCACTAGTAGGCCAGATATTTCCTACTCAGTTGGTGTGTGTGCAAGGTTTCAATCAAAGCCTAAAGAAAGCCATCTCCTAGTTGCAAAGAAAATACTGAGGTATCTAAAAGGTAATCCTAACTCTGGATTATGGTACCCAACAAATGGAGGTTTTGAACTCTATGGATACTTAGACTCTGACTTTGCTGGATGCAAAATTGATAGAAAAAGTACCTCAGGTACTTGTCAATTAATTGGTGGAAGACTTGTTTCATGGTTCAGCAAGAAACAAAACTCAATTGCTACAAGCACTGCCGAAGCTGAATACATAGCTGCAGGCAGCTGCTGTGCTCAAATACTCTGGATGAAACAGCAATTGAAGGATTATGGAGAAGAAGCAAAGGAGATTAGCATCCTGTGTGATAACACAAGTGCTATTGCAATCACTCACAATCCTGTGTTTCACTCAAGAACCAAGCATATTGAGATCAGGCACCACTTTATTAGAGAACATGTTGAGAAGAAGACCATCAAGTTAGAGTACATCCCTACAGAGAAGCAGTTGGCTGACATATTCATCAAGCCACTGAATGAAGAAAGATTCAATGCACTAAGGCAAGAGCTTGGTATGGTAGATGATCTTGATCAAGTAAAGGAATAACCATGCACCTGTTCAGGGGGAAATCAATTCCAAAATCAAGGGGGAATCCCTAGCCACCTACTGAGGGGGAACTCTCAGGGGTAGCCACCTGCCAAAGGTAAGCTACTCAAAATCAACAAGGAATGAAACATCAAGGTCCAAGAAAGTCTATCTGACTTTCAAAGAAAGAAGAAATCAAAATCCAAGCAATGAACACAGCAGGTGATGAACTTCAACAGCAGTAGGCTCAGCAGGTGCCTAACCAATGCACTAAGGCAAGAGCTTGGTATGGTAATCCAAGCAATGAAGAAAGATTCAATGCACTAAGGCAAGAGCTTGATATGGTAGATGATCTTGATCAAGTAAAGGAATAACCATGCACCTGTTCAGGGGGAAATCAATTCCAAAATCAAGGGGGAATCCCTAGCCACCTACTGAGGGGGAACTCTCAGGGATAGCCACCTGCCAAAGGTAAGCTACTCAAAATCAACAAGGAATGAAGCATCAAGGTCCAAGAAAGTCTATCTGACTTTCAAAAGAAGAAATCAAAATCCAAGCAATGAACACAGCAGGTGATGAACTTCAACAGCAGTAGGCTCAGCAGGTGCCTAACCAACCAGCCCACTGCTACTTAACCAATGAGAGAACTAGCACTAATACTTTCTTAAAAAGGAAGGAAAACGAACTAGAGAAAAAGAAGAAAAGCAAATGGAGGTAAAAACATTGGTTCACAAATTCGAGCAGGTGCCTGCCAGCAGGTGTCTGCTTCACGAGCAGGCAACTGCCTCAGGGTAGCAGTTGGCTCGATTTCTGACAAATATACATGGAATCTCAGCACATGGAATATACCATCTTGATCCCCTCATATCAAGGATTCCAAAAAGGTAACTTCTGCTCCCATCAACCATCAAAAATCTTCTCAAAACTGAGCCCCCTGCTACTAGTGTGAACACAGTTAATGCTAAAAGGAACCAGCCGTATTCTCCAACGGCTATATTCCAACGGCTAGTTTCCAATAGCCTATAAATACATCTTCCGTACAAACCACCAACACGTTTACTTTGCAATCTCTCTCAAACTGATTCTAAAGCTCTCAAACACTCTCAAAAGCTCTTGAATAACCACCCCATTTTCACAACCCATAACATCTAATGGCTTCCCTCATCCAAATCTCAAAATCCATATTCACTGGTTCCATTCTAAACACTCCAAAAATCCTTGAAAGAGAAGAGAACCCTGATCTCATAAGGGAACTCCTAAGGAAACTAGAAACTATGGGGCTTATGAAAATGGCTACCTATCCATACCTCTACTTCTATCCCGAGGTAGTAGCAGAGTTCTACATCAACTCCACACCAAAAAAACTGAAATCCGTTGTGATTGGATTTGAAGTGGAGATCAAGGAAGAAGAAATAAGGGAACTACCTTCCCTACCTGGAGAAGAAGCCCCAGACGTAGATGACCTTAACCTGGACGAGGAGAACTTCAAAGAAATCATTTTCCTCCCAAGAGCTCAACACCTCCACACCCTCAAGGTGAAGAAGAAGCTGATGGTTCCAGAATATTTTCTCCTACTGGACATCCTCTACAAGTGCATTGACAACAGAACCACTGCTCTAGATGAAATCAATGCACAAAGAGCACCTCCACTGGCCGCAATAATCTCAGGGATCCCACACAACTGGTCCAGGTATATTTACAAAGAGCTTATGAGATACGTAGATAAATCACACAAGGATAGGGGGAGAGACGGTACCCTACCATTGCTAGGGTATGGGTTTCTAATTGACGAACTTCTCAAAAGGAAGGGAATGGTGGGGGAGGTTAAGGAAGCAACCAACTGGAGGAAATTCCTCCATCAAACTTCCAAGATAGGAGCCCTAGATATTCAAAAGCAAGATAACTCTCTCCCATCCCATGAGCCTCTCCAAATCACCTTTGATAAAATCAAAATAAAGACTGCCAAGAGAATCGGATCAGGGTGTCAAGAAGCTAAATCAAAAGGCCAAGAACAGTAACAAGGAATCTCCAAGATGAAATGGAAGAGGCAGCCTCGTCTTTTCATTTGGGTCAACAAGAAGAAGCAGTGGCCTCCCCTCTCGCCATCATCCAAGAAGAAGCAGAGTCCTCTGATGATTCCTCAAACGCAAGTAATAACTCTAGACGGCTCAAATGGAAGAACAGACGGGTCAACCACAACAGCAGGAGCCTAATCTACACGAGCAGGCGGCTCAATCAGATGAGCAGGTGGCTCCCCCATCTCCAGCAGACAACTCATTTACTCCCCTTGAGCAGTTGGATGCTGAATTCACTAGAGTCAAAGCTTGGAGGAATTGGAAGCTCTCACGCATACTCAAGCAAGCTGAGACCTTCTCCAACTACATCGAAGAGGAAGACTTTGCTCTGGAGTGGTTAGGCACTGAAGACCTTGCAGTTGCAACAAAACTCCACTACATCAACCATATCTACAGCAACAAAAGGAGCCAACTGCTAGGCAAGTCATCCATCCAAAGTGATGACTCAGATGATCTGGATGATGATGATGATGATGATAATTATCCACAGGGACCTCCCAGAAAACAAAGAGATAAACAAACTCTTACCTTCTCATCTTCCAGTGATAAAGAACTCAGAAGAGTTCTTGAAAAATCAAGACTAGAAACTCAAGGAGGAGGAGAATCCTCTAAGGCCCCCAAGAGTAGTTGGCTGCCACTTTAAAGCAGGGGCCTCAATTGCTTGATCTCAACCTGGAGCCTCACCAAGAAGAAGTCCCAGAGCAACAAGCTACAACTTCAAATGAGATCAAGGAGCAAATTCTCAATGATGGAGTCGAGGACACTCCAAAGCTAGCAGA